TCTTTAGGGATCAAAATAAGCAGCAACTTTATCAGGATACAGCATTCAGAGCCTGGCATTGGACAGCATATTGTGAACTGACAGCCTTTCCAGGGAATTTTGAGGGTTTGGGTCTATCTGCAGTAGCTTCACATTTCCAAATTTGGCTCTGAACACCAATAAGAGGCATTTAGCAGAACCAAATATTGGATCCAATTAGCTGAATTAAAGTCCATAAGACCATCCTTCTTCCTAGACTGAGACATTTTACTAATAAAGGACACACAGAAGACATCCCTGATACCTTTTCTCAGAGTCTGCATCTATTATACTCTTGTCATGAAGAAGGGAAGCAAAATGTCAGAACAAAATAAAGGAAAATGATCAGTTGATAAAAGAAAAAATATCAAACCTGCTTGCTAAAGTAAACAGACAGAAAAGGCAAATTATTAAAAATACTTGTTTTCTAGCAAAGCTGCTGGGAGAAATAGAAGGAATATGAGCAAGTAAATACACACAGCATTCCTGGAGGAGAAATAAATAGGGATCCTATTATACTGCTGTTTATGCACAGCTTGGAAACTTCACTATATAAGCTGCAGGGAATAGAAATACACTGTATGCAAGCAGAACATTCTTGGACTGTTTATGGCACTACATGTATGCCATACCCTGAGGTTCCTATAAAAAACTTATTATTTACCAGTTCAAGCTGTTTGGCTTAGCTGTGATTTGGGTAATATTTTCTTCACTGGAAGAAGTGCTATGCTGCTGGTATAGGCTGGAGTGCTATAGCAGCATAGCCTCATCTTTCTCAGATTGTCATAAATTTGCAGGCCGCAGTTATTAACCACAGATATTGTAAACTGCAAGTGACTCTGCCTGTGGATCCATGCAGCAGGGAATATATACCAACATTTCAAGTTCATTTGCTCCTCCATTCGCATGGCTGTGTATTTCTTCTCACAGACTTAAAATGCATTAATTTACCCAGACTTTGACATACATGCAGAAGTCTAGGGAGATTTCTGTTAATTTCAGGGCAGAATATAACACTGAGTAAACCCACAGGCTTTTCTGTGCAAACCCAAGGTTTTTCTTGGTTTTGTTTGGAAGGATTTTCAACTACTTTAATCAAGAAAACATTTGTAAAAGGACAGAGAAGGAAAGGCAAAACAATGACAAAACTTGAACTCTTTGACAGAGAACAAGAAAGCTTTTGATTAGGAGGAAGACAATTTGAGAATACTTTCCTTTCCTGAGGCTGCACCTACAATCAAAGGAGGATATCAACTATTGCAAAATCCTGAGTATGGAAACAAAGGAGTTCTTGGTGAGTGGACCAGGATGGGAGAAATTCCTTGGGATATATCTGTAAAATCTTCAAGGACATAGAGTCTGGAGCAAGAAGGGCATACAGAGAAGCTCAGTCCCAAGGATAAATCCCACCTGTGTGAGGCTGGAAGGGAGCTCTGGAGAGACCGAATGCAGTGTGTGTTAAACCTGTCCTGTTAAACCATGCTGTCCTGCACTGCTTTGGCAAGTCACATTTCTATTGCAGGATTGCCTACTCTGCCTCTGTCACCATGGGCCAGACCTGGGCACACACAGAGCCACTGCAGGACTCGGGGGCCATGAGCAGCCTGAAGGCTCAGTCACAGAAGGGTTGGGTTGGTGACTCCCACCTCAGAGTGGCCAAGCCATGAGCTTTTTACCTTTAAGGCTACCTCCTAGGGATTTAATAGCTTAACTGCCCATGGGAGAAGAAATCAAGGGGAATTTGCTCCAAAGGAGTTCTTCTCTCTTTTTCTTGTGATATTAAATATTCTCTCAGAGTAAACAATCTATTTGAAGATTTTCCACTGACTGATACTTAGCTCTGGGAAAGGACAAGCTCATTTTGCCAAAATTGCCTCTGGATTAGGGTGTTGCATACCCCATTGCTAGGGACATGGCCTACTGAAGAAAACATTACAATTTAATTGTGCTGGTAAATGCAATATTATTTGTGAAATAAAATTGCCTTTTTCTCATATTTAGCTTTCTTGAATTTTTAGAGAATCATTAAACAAAGTAATTCCCTATTACCTCAGTGAAAAAGAATTAATGAAAGAGCAAAGTTACAAGAAAGGTCTGAAAGCAAATGATTATGAGTTAATAATGTTTCAGGCATTTAAATATAAAATTCTGCTAATAATCAGAAGAAATAGCTATGCGGGATCAAACTATCATGCAGAGCCTCCTACAATGATTTATTCATTAAAGAACAGCAAAATTATTTTTGATTACTCCAAAGACTAACCTCACAGTGAAAAATAAATTGGCATTTATAGTGCTTTATCTCCAGAAGTGAACGAAAAGATATTTGTGACTTGCAAATAAAAGATTAATTTCTATTAAAAAGAAAAAAAAAAGTAGTTCAATTCACTTTCCTGGATACCCTTTTCTAACATTTTCATACATTATCCATCCGTGTGATAGAAAATTACAATTTAATCATTTAGGATCATGTAGCATACTCTAATTGAAAGCTTTGGAATTATTCCAGTGTTTTGAATGGTCATTCTCAGCTGCATGCAAATTTTCCCCTCCTATGTGGCTAAAAGATCCTGGTAAATAAATTTGGGTTTAAAACTCCGAATTTTTCTCTTATTCTTGAGAATTCTTGGAAAAATCTCTTCACAGTCTGATGTCAGCATATGGGAAGACTGAGAGACTAATGTGTGATAGGCTGTCAAAAATGGAATAATACAGAACTCCCTTCAACTAGCATGAAGTAAGATAGCAAATTAATCTCTTTGGGTATTCTGCATCATCTGATTTCAGTTGTCTATACTTAGATTTTTACTGCTCCTTGAGATATCCCAGATTATTCAGGCTTCATCAGACAAATACCAGAACTCTTCCATTTTGAAAAGTAGCTATTTGGGCAATTAATTTTGGGACCTGGAATTCCACCCCTACATTTTTAGGTGTGGGGTAAGTGTCTGAACTTTTGTCATAGATGGACAAGCTCTAACCAGGACAGTCCATGGGGCCTGCAGAACCTTTTGGATGACCTGGTCTTAAGAACATGGCTTTCCTATAGCTCCTGTGTTGTGTGTGCCAGGTGAATGGGAGCAAGGTTCAGATGGGGTACCAAGAAAAGTTTTTTTCTCCAATCAGGGCAGCCAAAAGTGAGACAAATTACTGGCAGGTGGTATAGTCTCCATTTGTGGAGTTTTTCAAAACTGAGTGAGACAAATAACCCAAAGAAACCTAAAAGAACCCCACAAATGACCTCTACAACCTCACAGATAAACAGAAAGTTGGAACAGAGATCTCCTGAGGCCTTTTCACACCTGATTTATCCCATGATCTCCCAGTCCCTGGATACTGTAGAACCCTTCAAACAACACTAATACCAAATGTTGACCTTCTGCATTGAGCTCTTGAAGAGCTCTGGCAGTAGCTGGAGTTTATATACCCAGACCACACGTTGGCATTTATATATTGCCTACTGAATTTGGATCCTAGTTATGAGATTATGAATCCTGCTTTTCACATGACAGTTAAGTATATGTAAAGAAAGGCCGGGTTCATCAGAAATATATTTTTCCCATTTAATTCACAGTGTGCTTATCCGTGTGTGAATGTGAGACACATCATGCAGAGATACTAGAAAATACTATGCCTGGTTTTCTGTGTCTTTTGAAAAAAAAAAGTTTATTTGTCTTCTGTGCAATCAATTTTCTGCTATTTAAGCCTAAGAATAGACTAGAAGATAAGTGTTCTTTTATTTAAAAAACAGAGTGAATAAACTCTTTTGGTTAAAACGGCATCAAGGGGTGCTTTATAGTGAGGATTTAAAGCATTCAAGTTCTGAAGCTCATTGAAGAGAAGGCATAAAATTGCTGAATACTCTATTCCCAAGTAATTTACTCTAATTATCAAGGAAAAGGGGAACAATCTCTCCTAAAGATATTTTCTTCAGAAAAGCTGTGACTGTTCTTCACATCAAGTTTTTAATTTGGAAAATTGGAATAGAGGTGATTTTAGAAGCTTTCATTTTGACTCAGTTCTCAAGTACTTAGTGAAAAGAATCAGAGTGCTTTCCAAGCAGTTTATCTGATTCATAAACCCAAGAGCTCTGAATTATCAGTGGAACACTGAAATATCAGTGTTGGTATTGAACTTTCCATAATAGTGCCCCTCTAGAACTTTACTGCGACTTAAGGCAAATCTAGAAATTATATAGACTGTGCAGCCAAATCTCTTTTCCTTTGTTTGATCAACTCTTTGGCTGGGCTACTGAGTAGCAACTCATATATAGTAGAAATTTCTGTGGCCAAAACTGCTAACTTTGAGAGATATAAAGGAAGCATGAGGGGAGAAATTAATTTTAGTAATTGTCTTAACAACACTCCTGTAAGGAAGCCAAAAATGTTTTCTAATTGTACAGAAGAAAACCAAAGGTGCATAGGTTCTCTCTTCTGAGCTAGTAATCTAGGGCTCATATATCTTAAAACAGGAATACAGTGTCAGTTGAAATGCCCTCACAAATCCATTCTCTAACTGCTGGTCTAAAAAGGCAAACTCTCCTGAGGATTTGGTGTCGTATATTGATTCCTACACAGACATCTTGGATTCTCCAAAATACCTACCATGTCACTAGACACATTGTGCAGTTAACTAAATAATTGAATATTTAATCCCTCCTTACAATCAAAAGAAAGTAGTAAATAACTCCAAGATGCAGCTCATTACCTTGTTCAGACATTTTAACTGTTCTGATTCATTAAAACTGTAATTCAGTGTCTTTGATAAAGCTATGAAAGACTGAGTAGTATTCCATTCATATGCAGCTACAGTTATTTTATATTTCTATTATATCAGATGCTGAATTTAAATCCAGTACAACATAAGTGTGGTCCTACTAAGGAATTCTTCCTGTAACACATGCACCACAACACTGCATTTTTTTCCATAGGAACATGAAGCTGCTGAGTGTGATCGAATGCTGGAAGTGAGGCAAAACACCAGTATGGCGAATCATTTGAACTTCTCCAAATGTTTTGAAATCTTTCCTAAAAGAATATTTTAAACTGTAGAGAAGAATCACAGAAGTTACTCTGGGATGCTCTTCCTGAAAAGAGGCTGTTGTGAGCTGAGGGTAGGTTTCTTCTGATAACTAACAGGGGATAGGACAAGGGGATATGGTCTCAAGTTGCATCAGGGGAGGTTTAGTTTGGAAATTAGGAAAAAATTTCTTCACTACAAAGATCATCAGGAACTGGAACAGGATGCCCAGGGAAGTGATGGAATCCTCTTCCCTGGAGGTGTTTAAAAGATGCATAGATGTGGGGACAATGTTAGGTATATAATTGGACTTGATAATCTGGAAGTATTTTCCATACTAAATTATTATTCTTTGTCTTCTTTTTAAGGCTCTCAAGACACCCACACAATCAGAAAGCTTCTGTGTTTCGGAAGGCTCCCATTTTGCCAATCACAGGGAATGCTGAGAGCTGACATTGAATGAACCTACTATAAAGGACAGACATTTGCCCATAATTATGTGCATCTGTGGTATCTGCTGGAGTTAAATAAAATCTTTTCAATTCTCTGCCTTTATCACATATTCACATAAATAATGGATTTTTTTTTTTTTCAATTTTGACCTTACCTTTCCATCATTACCAGCTGTTTCTAAATTAACAGTTTTCCTTTAAAATGAAACACATGTAAGTTTTATTGATTATTTTCTCAACAGAGAAAGCTTCAATGGTAGATTGTCACATCAAATATTCCTAACACTAATGAAAAAAATTACTAATGGATAATATGCTCTTTATTATCTAGAGAGCAGAGTGTCACCTTAAGTAGATTAATTTTATTTAAATTATGTGAACAGCAGGACAGCTCATCTAGACTCTGATATGGACAAAATTAAGAGAGGTTTTGAATAAAACAACCACTAATTTTAATTTTAATGATCACCAGTGATCTAAAAATGACATATAGTTATTTTGTTTCATCAGAAACAAATATTATTTTGATCTATGATGAAGCTATAGCCTTTGAAAAAAGGAAAACAAATGAACAATTTAGAATACACTTTTGAATTAAAATGATCTTTTTAAAAAGAAGGAATTATTTACTCTACTGCTTCAGTTTTTCTCTATATTCAGTACAAAAAATCAGGAATGTGAGAATTTCACAGTTTTAGTGCCATTAAATCAGCACTTCCCAAATACTGACACAAACCTTTAGACAGAAAGGAGCACTGAGTTTAACTTTGATGACTTCTAGCTCTCAAAAAAACCCCTATCAACAGACTGTGATTGCAGTCTCTTGAGTTTATCACTGACTTTTATAGTTGCTCACTTTCCAGAAGGTCTTTGTTTCAGCCTTCCAGATCTTATCTTTACAGGAAGCTCTATTTAATTGAAAAGGCTGTTCTTCTGCAACGCAGTTTTGTATGAATCCCTGAAATCCACCTGGCACCTCTGGTTTAGAATCACAGGTGTCCAGTTGTACATGGGTTTTAAAATGTACTGCATCATGGTTTTTTTACAGCAGAGTTGTCACTTTTAGGTACATAAAAGCATCTCAGGTGCATTAGCAATGTGCTTCTCTGGGGCTAACTGGCTAATAAGTGTATAAGCTATCATATAACTACACAGATTTATGCACTGTGGATCAAAAATAACACTCACCTGTGCATATCACTGTCCTATTTCACGCTCTGGACAAGAGTGTGGCTGTACACTCCTATGATCAAGATCATGGTAGTTTTAATGAAAAGGACTTGTGGATATTTCCTATTGAAGTTTTGCAGGAGCAGGCAGGTGCTGCAGTTTCAGGACTGGCACAACAATAACCAAATCAAGTCTTACCAGTGCAGCTGCTTAGTTCAGCAAAGACTTCCAGGTATAATTCACCATAATGCACCAGAAGTCTGCTCTGAGGCAGTGTCATCCTGGGTGAATTTGAGAGCCTTGGAGAGTTTATCCCTTGGAACTAGTTTGAGAATGTTTTGGAAGATGGTTCCCAATGAAGAAAATTAGAAGAATCATCAATATTAAAATTCAGCTCCATTTGTAAGTACATATATTTAGCTTATATATAACATATGTATTGTCCAGGAGCAGGACAACACTAAATCAACTTGATCTTAATGACAATGATAATCCAAATAAAAAAAGATTCTGGAAAGCATATGACAGATGCAGAGCAGAATTTCTGTCTGGCAGAAGAGAGCTCCAGTGACTGAATATACAGCATCCAGCCCCCTACACAATTTTGTGTTTTGAGAATTATCAACACCAGAATATGACACACATATACTTTTAAGCAAAAAAAAAAAAAAAAAAAAAAAAAAAAAAAAAAAAAAATTTAAAAAAAAAAAAAAAAAAAAAAAAAAAACTCACCACAATTAGAATTTATGCTGTTAATTGCTGCTTTTGAAAATACACAAAAAATTTCCTTTTTGCCAAGCTCAGAGAAATGAGTGACCTTTGCAAGCCACTGCCCAAGCAGCCAGGGAAGGAATTGGCAGCAAAAAAAAACCAACAAAACAAAAACAACAATCTCTGCACCTACCCTTACAACTGTAGTGTTTTGACAGTGTAATTTTTTATAGTGGCTGTTATTATTGTCATTATAGAAAAGCACATATTGCCAGTTATGCATATCTTTTTATTTTGCTACCATGCATAGTAAATATTCTAATCAATAGTTGACTACCACAATCATAGCAATTACTATGCAGCTTTAATACTGAATCACTGCCAAGAATATTTTTCAACATCAAGACTGCCCTACTCATCTTTCTGTAAACATAGCAGTATGTTCCTCTCCAAACACTGCAGACAGGGACAATGTTTGTCCAACTCCTCTCCCATGGGATTCAGCAATTTAGGTCAAATGCTAAACACGCATAATACATAAAAATAAGAGAATGCTGGTAAATCCTAAAGCTTTTACAGACTGAAGTTACAAAGAGATGTCAGGACAAACCAAGAGATGAAAAATATAACTTTTATTATTTAGTTAGCATTAAAATACATTCTAGTAAAAATATATATAATCCTGCAGTAATTCACACATACACACATATAGACATATACAACTATTCACACATGTACACCCATACCCACAGTCCAGCAAAAATGTATGCATATATGGACACAGATAAAAGTTTTTGCATTATAGTAAATCTAAACTTTCCATTTAAAGATATTAAACCTGAATGAAAAAATAGCAGAACAAATTCTTGTTTCTGAGTGCATCTCAGTAGGTGTATATTTTCACTGTAGGACACCCCTCTCAAATTGTTTTGACAGAGATAGGATTACTGCAAAATTGGTCATGAAAGAAACTAATCTTTTATTCCTACCCCAACTGTTAGTATATTCTTATCTGCATTGGCAGTGTTAAATCTGTAGGCAAATATGAATTTGCTGGCTACAGTATAGCTTCAAAAGATCAGCATCCTGACAGGAAAACCAATATAGCCTTGATGCTAATCTTTATTTCTACAGACGGTTGCTAAGTATAAATACACTCTATCAACTATGCAACTCTAATCTAAAGCTGTTTATTGACACAACAAAATAAGGAGTGGAGTAGAAAGAGTTTGAAAGCAAACCTAATCTTCAGAGGATATGTTAATGATTGATGACATTTTCTTGTCAGTTGTTATTTGTATGAACAGATAGCACTATTTTGGAAAAGAAAATCTTTAAAAATGCATAGGGGTTCTATTTGAAAGAGGAGCATTTATGCATTACGGGGTCATATGTGGTAAAAGAGATGGGATAAAGAGATGATATTTTGTCCAGTAACAATGTCAACACTCAATAGAGCAATAGAAAGAGTCCAGTATAGTTCTGCCTTCAGAGACTGGTGACTGCAGGTGTTGGTTCAGGTAGAAGTATACCAGGATGACTTTTGTGATACCAGGGTACAATTTAAACCACTTTTTTTTAGAAAATATTTAAAAACATTTGGAGAAGTTTTAATGCTGCTGTAGGCTGTTGTTTAGTCCCACTGTCAGCACCAGATCACACTCAGCAGATCGATGTTGCCATGGCAAATGCTGGGGTGTTGGACCACATGCATTACAGGAAGGATCCCTTAACAACAGATATTCTATGATTCTGTGGTGAGCTGGGGACCACACTTATATGTTCTGACTTTAATTTCAGTATCTGATTTAGTATATGAAATAACTAAAGCTGAATATAAATGAAATATTAATCAATCTTTCTTGAATTTATTGAAGAAATGCCAGCTAGCCTTATTAAGTTCTATGGAAACATTTTGAAGTCTTTGGGGAAAAGAACCAATGTATTGCTGTTTCTTGTCTCACAATGTTATGCAGACGGGACTTCATCTCATTCAGTCATGAGATCTAGGCTACAGAGCTGGGCAATAAAGAGCTGCATGAAATTTAACAAGAGTAAGTGTTGGATTGTCCACCTGGGATGGGACAATCCTGGTTACACACACAAACTGGGGTACCGGGACAGAGAGTCTGAAAAGCAGCACCATGGAAATAAAGCTGAAGATTTGGGTGGATGGAAAATTGACTAACAAATGACTAATAAAAAGGCTAATCTTATCCTGGGGTTCATCCAGCACAGCATCCATCACTGGCTGGTCGAGGGAGATGATTGTCCCCCTCTATTCTGCACTAAATTGACCTTGACTAGAGTGCTGTGTGCAGGTTTGGGCGCCTCAGTGTAAGAAGGATGCAAAGTTATTGCAGAGCATCTAAAGGAGGGGAATCAACATGTTGAAAGGCCTGGAGGGAAATTCTTGTAAGGAGCATCTGAGGTCCCTTGCTTTGTTCAGCTTGGAAAAGAGAAGAGGCTGCACCTTTCTCCGAGGGCTGATCTCCCTCTGGTGACCAGTGTCAGGACACAATGAATGATGAAATGCAACCAAGATGCCTCAGGGGAAGTTCAGATGGCACACAGGGAAAAGCTTCTGCATGGTGGTCACTCCCTGGAAGAGGCTACCCAGGGAAGTGGTCACACATAAAGCTAGTCAGAGTTCTAGGAGGGTCTGGAAAATGCTTTTATTGTATGGTTTATTTTTAAGTAGTTTTGCAAGGAGCAGGGAGTTGTACTCGATGATCCTTAAGGCTCCCTTGCAATTTGAGATATTCTGTGACTCTATGATTTTAAATCAGATATTACAATTACCACAAATTTGCTGGGGGCTTTCACTGCCACTCTGCAGAGGTTCATTCTTATACACTCAGCCTTGTTTTGTTCAGCCTCTGCTGCAAAAGAAGATGAAGTTTCTTTTAACTTTAGGGGTAAAAGGCCTTTGGGGCACTGGAGCAGATTCAGCTTTAAAACTGGGCTCCCTAAATGCTCACAAAATGAATGCGTGCATGCATGCTAAGTTCCCCACAGAAAATAATCTTGGTCTCAGAGATCATGTTTCACATATTCTTCCTTACTATTTATGTTCTGCTCTGAAAGTAAATGAATACTAAATTGAATCAGCAATTCAGGCTTGCTACATTTCATTGATCTATGACAGATCAGAGCTTGATGCTGAGCTAATGTGGCCCCAAGCATCAACCTTTACCACTAATATGGTTTTAAA